TATTTCTTTTTAGTGATATCATATTGAAATGCAAATGCAATTAATGAATGAGTTTTACAAATCAATCGATGTTTAGTAGCAAAAAATAGTCACTTCTTTATTACTTATAAGAAGTATTATATCGATCTCACAATTAAATGACTATTTCATCAATTGTTTTCTTTATTGTATTCTACGAACCAAAACACATAGTAATCATAAATATTATATGAATATATAGTTGTGCTCTAAAAGCAGTTTCCTATTTATATATAAATATTGCAAACCAATTGATTTTTAAACTTTCATACATTCTGTGTTTAAAAGAATATATTTTTCAATTATTTTCCACATTTTTGAAATATTTATTTCATATTTACTCAAAATTTTTAAAATTTATGTTTTTGTATTTTCAGGGAACGTATTGTCTATGAAAATGGTTGAACCGAATGGTTGTCCCAAATATATTGACACAAAATATACAAAAGTAAGAGAAAACTTTCAATTTTCCGCTTATTTTAGAGAATTTTATTTTAAGTTTTTTTCTTAATGTTTAAATCGTTTTTATTAATGAATGCCTTATCTATACTGTATGTAAACAAACGTAAAATATTTACTCAAGTAATGATAATTTATTGTAAAAGAATTATTTAGCTCCGGGACATTCTCTGGCAAATGAAAATAATAGTTATTATTTTATTTCATTCCTTGTTTTCAAATAAAAATCATTAGAAATAAAGTCGAAAAGAATAGTCGAATGAATTAATGGGAAAATAATTTTTTCAAGTATTCTATTGTGAAGAATAACATCTTTTTATTTATTATTAATAATATATTTTTGTGATTATCCTTGAGTTTAGTTGGTGTCGACATTAATAGCAAAAATTCACTTTTTATATTACACTATATTATATACAATATATTAGGTTATATTACTATAGAATATTTCTTATTTTTCTTACGAAATTCTTATTTATTTCCAGAATTTTAATATTTAATATTATATATAGTTTTATCACTTTATAAATTACATAATTAATAAAATATTTTGTGAAATGTATAAAGTGGTTAAAGAATTGAAATATATTTAGTATACAATACTTTGTCTGCAGTTTTAGATACGTTCAACTATTTAAATAAGATTTATTTGATTTTTAAGTTTTAAACAAAATTCATGAAACAATGAATTACACGAATAAAAATAACTGGAGAGAGAATGATATATTTGACAATACTTTGAGGTTTTTACACAAAATGCTAATTTAGAAAATTCTTGACAAATTTTTAGATAAAACTTAAATTATTAGCAATTAATGCGACAACTCTTTAAAAAACCACTAAAAAAGAAGTAAATATTTCCCGGAGTTATAGTGCCATATAAATCACTCCTTAACCATGTATTAATTAAAGTAATTCTTCCTTTACGGTAACTTTGTTATTAATTTATCTAAACGTTGTATACATAAAGTGTATGGCGTTTGGCAGCTATATTACGCTATATCGTAAGGCATTGGAGTACACCTCAAACAAATGCTTAACACATAAAATATTCATAATTAAATTAATAAATATTACATGTACTCGATTTGTATATTTATAATTATTTTAAATCAATAAAACATTGTTTGGTTAATTGGTTTATTAAAAGTAAATGATAATAAATATATTTATTATTGAATATTTTATTGGTTTTGTTTAGTGTGTAAAATAATCTCCACAACGAGACTCTATAGAGTCATTAATTTATTTTTGTTGCAAAACTTTTAGTGAAAAAAAAAATTATATAACTATTTTCACAAGATTTTGTGCTCTCGTAGTGTGAGTTAAGCCAAACATTTAATAAACTCTTGAATAACTTTTCGCATTATGTAAATGAGCGAAGAAAAAGTCTAAAAACATGTATTTTTTTAATTCTAGTTATTATAAGTCAATTAAAATACTGGGAATTGTTTTGCAAGATTTGGCACCAAAAATGAATATCCTTTAAAACTTATTAAATAAATTGCAATTTTGTTTTAAGAAATAGTTTTATTTACAGAAAAAATAAGTAATGTTTTTATATATGAAATGCGAGTCAATGAGTGAATGAAAGAGTGTTTAGAGAGTAAAGAATGATTTGGTAATAAATGAGACGTTTTTATAGCATTTAATTAATGATTAAGGAATGAAATATTAAGATAATTTGTTGGTTATCTTAATGAACATAAATTAATAATAAATAACTTTATTTTCGATGAAAATCAATGCTCTCAGGCCTTCACTCTATCAGATAATAAAGTGTAATAATTTTCAAAACTTTCAAAAAAGTATATAAATAAAAGACAAACAAATCATTTATTAAACGGAAAGCAAATATAATAAATTTGAAGCAATTATTCACTTGAGATAAACATGCAGTAAATTTCTATAACAATTTAAAACAATTATTATGACAATTAATATGACATTAATTTTAATATTATATTTGTTTTTTATTTTAAAACAATTTTATAAATCAGTCATTAATTAAAAGTTAATTTATTTAAAGTCTATTAAATAAAGTAAAGCAATATATCATAAATAAAATTGCACAATAAAATTTAAAATTGTATAAAGATTAATTAACTGATTTAAATTGTAATTAAATTAATATAAAATAATAAGCACTGAAAAAAGGTATTAGATTTCATAATAAATATACAGAAGTTATTGTTAGAACTTAACGGCGGCTCTAATTATCGACTTTAAGCCAATGTTAAGCTCTTATTAAAGCAAACATTGTTAGTGTCGACCGATTTTCCTAACATTTCTTTGCCAGACATTCATTAATCTTAAGATTTTTGCCAACAATACTCTCCTCTTATACTCCACTTTCACTTCACAGTACAGTATATGCACTAAATTGGAGATTAAATTTACAGTCCCTTACAGTCCACCACAACTACAATTGCATAATCTTATAGTGTTTTATAAATTGAAATAAGTTTCTATATCTAAACATATCTACAATACAACTCAAATTACTATTAATTGGATTAAAGGTCTGGCAAGTGATGGAAGATTGAAATAATGAACATTAATGTACCGTAAATTAGATGCTCTTAAAGCAAATTCCTTCATTTCCTAACCATTACTTCACAATTCTTTACATAATTTCAAATATATATTCAAATTATTTGTCAAAATTTTTACTTAATTTAAAGTTCAATTTAGATCCAAATTAATTAAATATTAACTGTTGAGTACTATTTAGTCATTTAATACAGTAATAATCGTGCAATTCTTGGCACTCTCACAGCATTAAGCTATCATTTGAGCGCAATTTTCAAAATTTTATTCAAGAAATATAGTGACATTTAAAATAAAATCTAGGACATTTGTTTGCCATTAATTTGTAAGTTTAATTTTATGTAATGTAAATTTTATATTGATTGGTTAAGAAATGGTGGATATCTAAAGACAATGATGTCTACATTTGTTTTGGCACTTTATTTGAGTGGGTATAGCGATTAATTGTTCAAATATAAGCTAAAATTATGTGATTTTGGGAAATTAATAATAGTTTGTGAACTCAAACATTCCCACCCTTTCATAAAAAATTGTTAAATTTCGATATGAAATTATTTGTGCACAAATATTTTTCAATATAAAACTCATTCAATATAAGACTACTTTGTCAATATCAACAAAATGTCTTATTGTCCTTATTTGAAGTAAAACATGATATTTGTTCCCCAAAATATATTCTAGAATTCTTGTATAGATTGTAGAATATAGCATAATATGTGGATAACTTAACTCTTTGGTTATATAGTATTTCTGAGAGATATAAATCATTTGAGTAATAAATGCCGTATAAATTAGCTTTAAATTGAATATAGATTTCACGTCTATTTCAATGATAATTGATTGATATATCCATCCATTGAAAGCTAATCCTAACTCAACTCAATTAATAACTAATTAATTATTTATTAATTATAAGTGTTGTAAACATAATGTGATATGAGTTATACAATATTTAATTCAATGTGTCTTCAATTGAGTTTCAAATAAATATTCTGTTTATTATTTAACACTAATTCTTGTATTTTGTAATTATTTTAGAGATAATTGCCGAGAGATGTGGAGGAATGGCGTGAAAGCCAATAATCGGGACATCAAACGCATCCTATGGTGACACTAGAAGATAGGCAGACAATGACCACAAGACCGCAACCACTCATATGTTGACCACATTTAACAGTAAACCTCAACTTCAACCACATCTCAGCCAAACATACAGACAATACACTGTATATGACAGGAGTATTACATATACTTTACTAATGGCTAGTATTGAGTGAATTGTAATGCAAACCAATTGTCAGTCATATAAACAATTAGACTATAATGTAATGAAATGATTGCTTTTTAAATGACATAACAATAATTGTTAGTAATTATTACTAATTGTAAACAAAAACAACAATTAAGACAACAAAACATGAGAGAAGAGTACTTTGAATGAGAATTTAGTTTTACTTTTAATATTAATTATTATATTATTTATTAATCGTTTCACTCATTAAGCGTCTAATTGTCTCACAATTTATGTTTAATTAATAAATAATTAATTTAATTATTAATAACTCTTTTAATTGTAAAATAAAAAACACATAAAAAGAGTGAAAAGTTTTTTGTGAAATGAATTAAACGTTTGTATAATAAAAGTGAACATAAAATGAGTATTAATTATGAATTAAAAGTGAATTAAAAGTGAATTAAATGTGAATTAATTGCAAATCAAATGTCATAACAATTAAAGCGGTCATCGATTGCATCATTCAATGCAATGCATGTCTATTGGCGTAGAATTGCGTACAAATTGTGCGCCACTTTTCCAACCAATGCATCGCTCTCTCAGTCAATGCCTTTTCAGTACCTTTTCATACATAGACTACACGTGTATTCACTGTCTATATGTATAGCCATAAAAGGGACCGAAATGTTGTCAACGAATAGCAAATATTCTGTAAACCATTTGAAAGAGAATTGAAAGCAAAGAAATGTTTGTCTGAAAAAAAACTGTAAAATAGTTGCGAAAAAAGTATTGTTTGAGCGAAACATACGATACAATCGATAGACTGCTTGTCTTCGTTAGGCATTCAACGCGTTGTTGTGGTTTTGGCCCTCATTTTGCACACAAACTGATCCCGAAAGTGATCTCAAGAATTAGAGACAATGGCCGACAAGACTGGGAACCAGAGTTGGAATCCTTTAAACTATTCGCAAAACTTATGTATTTTTGAATGAATCCGTTGAGTGATGTCTTCGTAATCGATGGCTAACTTTGTGTTTCCATATCTCAGGTGTGATGTCCAACACTGCGGTCAACACAACCATCGGATCCAACACTTCGTCTTCAGAGCCATTACACGACTCTTTCTCATCGCTTGACATCCAAAACAACTCAAACGATGGCATCAGTCGATTGGTTAAGGATTTGATGGCCAATAATGACAACGATTTACGGTTTGATTGTTTCCCAAATATGCAAACAATGAACGCAAGAGAAAGTAACCATTCATTCATTGGCGACAATCTGAGCAACAAATCGATGGACAATGTGTTGAATTGCGGCGACTTTGGTCTCAACGCCAACTCTGGCTCTCTATCGACCGCTTCGGCACTAATGGCGGCCAATACTAATCAATCGCTTCCATTCAAAGCCAATGTTATGTCCATTCCTTCTTCCAGTTATACAGATATGAAACCATTTGGACAATCGATGCGTCCAATGAATCCATCTCTTCAACAGATGTCCAATTCATTGAATAGATCGACGAATATGTCATCGGATCTGTTGAACAATGCGTTGATTGATCCGTCATTCCATAAGATGTCAAAGACATTGACCAAACCGATGACCAATCAAATGAATCCTTCGTTTTCAATGAATCAAATGAACTCAAATCAATCGGTTATGCAATCAATGCTGGGAACCAAACCACAGCCGTTGCCTTATAGTCAAAACCATACGTACCAACAGTTGGCGTCACTAATGGATCAGTCGGTCCAAGAAGTGAATTACGCGGCCAACCGTCAGATGAGATCAATTCGGTCGAGAAATGCGGTCAACAATTGTGTGGAACCGACGGCTAAATTGAATTATTATTTGGACAAAACTTACGATCAATTCAGACATTTGGAAAAAGAGCGCAAAAAGGTTTACATTATTTACAGATTGTATTGAAATTGAAAATGAGATTAAGTAATGAATAAACTGTTTGAATGAATGTATAGATTGAGTGCGAATTGATTCAGGCGTTTGTGGGTAAGAAGATCTCGAGTGCCAACAACTTTCCGATTCAACGTTTGCCGCAAAACGCGTCCAAAATCGACCGAATAATAGTGGATATGACTCGAGAACACGCGAAAGTAGTGACTATTGTGGCCAAAATGGAACAGTTGAAGGACAGGGAGTTGAGCGAAGACATCCACAATTGGGTCCAGAAATGGGTGGACATTATTCGTGTCCTACAAATGAAACGAAAGGTTGAAATGCAGAGAAGCTCGACGACAGGTATGGCCGCAGACGACACGTGTGTCGACGAGATCTGCGATGCGCTCAAGAATTTGTGGACAACGATCCGCGCCGTTCGGACCGCCTTATGGTGCTCTTCAGTGCTCACTCTATACGACACTACTTTCTCTTCAAATTAATGCCCATTCAATGCATTATTATATACTATTATTAATCAAAGTTTTGCCGCATTTAAACCACAACTTTTAGTAACTATTAGTTTATTTTCTCTAATTTTAACCTCTTTTTAAGAATTTTCATTTTTCTTCGTATTTAGACTGAAATTCTAAAATTTTTTACTTAATTATATCATGAGATTAATAATAATACGCCTATTGTTTGAATTTATATATAATATTAATATAATATTACTCTAAATAATACAATAGCAGTACTGAGAAAGTGTTTAGAATTAAATACTTATTATAAGTTTATTTACTCTGTTTTTCGGGATTTTATGAAATCATTGTAATTGTAAACTATTTTACAAAAACTTTCATTTATAAACTATTTTATCGATTTTAGCCATTTATTAATTACTAATAATCTCTTAATTTACGCCATGAATTATATTATTATTATTATTATTATTATTATTATTATTATTACCAAAAATAGCGGCATTACTACAATTTATTAAATGTTTATTTTTTGTTTATTAAACAACTGTATAAACATTACTAAGAATTCAATAAACTTTTTTGCAAATTTGTTTTATTGAAATTATGTTGACTATTGTATTCCAGAATCGCTTTCCCTCATCAAACATCATGTGCTTTGCATTTAATTAGAAGTTATTTACAAATATTTAATTTTAAAACTAAAATAAAAACTAAATTTAAATTCGTTGCGATCCGTACGGCAAGTATTGGACTGATCGGGGATCGGGTTTATGCGGAATCGGTCGCTACTTATGGGTTAAATGCGTCCACATTTGTGCCGATGAAACCACACATATTGAGTGTATGTATGAATGGGTTTGTGAGTAAAGCGAAGACATTGCCGGCACTCAGGACTGGCTGAAAGGGAACACAACACTGAAGATACAGTGTATGGAATCGGGGCTTATATGCCGTGTTGTATATGTATTACATAGTGTTTGCATATTTAAGATAATACATAAGAATTGTATGAAAAGGTATATCATGTGAATATCATAACAGATAATAACGAGTATATTAGGTGACAATTACTGGGATTGTAAGCTGAATATGCAGTGAACGTATGTCTGTTACTGTGGGGAAAACATGGGTAACCAAAGGGGTATTCAAACCGTAATAAATTAATTGTCGAATTGAGAATTCAATTAAATAATCAATTGATTGGTTCTATCGTAAATCACTTTCAATAGTATCTTACTGTATATAATAAAATACTGAATTGACAGCCGAAGTGGACATTATTTAGCATTATTAGCAAATAGTTGGAAAGTTAACAGTTATAACTTATAATGTACAATTTCACTTCTCCGACTACATGTATCTTTAGTTTTTTTATTCAAACATCGGATCTGAAGAGAAGATACGAATTCGATAAATATAAGTACATTAGATATATATATATATATATATATATATATATATATATATAT